TTTAACTACTTAAGCAGTGATCTCCGCAGCGCAGACAGTGAGCTGCGCGTTATAGTCGTGCTATTGTTGATGCTGATTGGGACAAATAGCCTTTAAGCTGCAATATCCTTTCACAACAACTCCATCTATTTAAGATCAACTATAGAATTTCAGTGACAGCCAGTGAGCTTTGTGTTGCCTCAGCATCTTGTGGAGGCAGAACAAACTAACATACAAAGGAACAACCAAACGCAAACGCTAAAAAATCTGTGTTTAATCATTTATAGAAATTTAAAATGAGAAGAAACATTGTAATAAACAAGGCTGGAGAGGAACCCAGGAAAGGGACTGTGTAATCAGAATTATTTTGTGGTACTCTTTGTCAGGTTGTATTCACAAGAGTCCTGTACCTTCTCTTTGTTTAGAGGAGCTGTCATGAAGGAAAATTAGGTCAGGTGGTAAATGTGCGTGTCTGTGCTGATTAAAGATACAACGCCTCCAGGCAAGTTTAACTCATTGGAGCTGACTGGCTTTCTCTTGCATTACTTTGACTTGTTCTCGTGTATTATTTATATTTATCAATTATGTGGATGAAAACAATTATATGGATGAAAACAAGGATTGCAGGATTTTAACACCCAGAAAGATTCTGTGCTGGAGCCGAGTCCTTTGTTTATCTAAGATTGAAACCTAAGTCACCATACTAATTCATGTGGCATTTCTGTGTTATAGCCCATATAAAAATGTTCTTTCTGTCTTTAAGAAATATTCTCCCCGCAAATGTAAAGATAATAATTTGCTCTGGTGCCTTTTGCAGAATTTGTCAAGTTCCTGTTAGTATCTTCTGCGCAATCCCTCTGGTCAGCAAATTCAGGCCTGCTGCATCCTTATATCCTCTGTAACACCGTCAGCAGTTGAGCTTTCAGCCCCAGTGCCCCCACTTTCTGAAACATTTTCCCTTGCACCACCCTCCTAAACACCTACCTCACCAACAGTACTTTCAGTCACCTCCCCTGAAACCTTCTCCACCTTGCTTGCTGATCTACACCATCTGCACATGTGAAAACATTACTTTACATGAAAGCTATAGATTAATCCTTGCATTTGAAATCCTGCATTATCATGTTGTTCAGTTTGTGAACACAATGTCCTACAGTCATGAAGTGAATGATTTTATTTGGGGGATTGTTGCCTAGAAACACTCTTTTCAAAAAGTCCTCTGGGATCTTTAACGTCCTTCTAAACAGACGGATGGGACCTGTTTAACGTCTCATCTGAAGGACGCCGCCTGACAATACAGCACTCTCCAGTGCTGCAATGGAGTGTCAACTGTGAGTCTGAGTTGTGAATAGCAGTTAGTCTCTTTGTGGCCTCCCTTATTTCTGAGATTTAGCCCCACATATTCAGTGTCAGTAAATGTCAGCGTTGTGGAGGCCTGTAGCTCAATGGTTAGAGCGTTCACCTTGCAAAGGAGAGAGCTGGGTTTGAATCCTGGCAGGGCGAAACGTTGGGCAAGTTTCCTTACTTCACATACTTTTTTTTACCTAGCAGTAGGTTGTTTGTTGATTGGAGGATCGCTTTTCCGGGGGTAATAATTCCTGAAAAAGAAAATTGGTCACTCAATTGGCTGCCGCGTTTCACCCACAAAATATAATTTTACTGTATATACTATGAAGTGCTTTGTGATATGTCGAAGATGTGATACGACACTATATCAACTGCAAGTATTATTATTTATTGACGCTGAATATTGCTGAAACTCCTTACATCCGCTCCCTTTAAATAAAATTACCACTACATCTGCACTCTTTAAATAAAGTTACTACTCAATAAGATTTGCACAAACTAAAACATAATCTTTGCATTTGATATTGTGTTGGGAAGACGTTGCAAAGCACTTTACAGGATTTATTGAAAAGTGCAGTTGTCTATAAGCAAATTGGCAGCCAATTTGCACACACCATTGTTTCACAAACATGAAGTGAGTGATCAAATTTTATTAGCGGATTATTGTCCAGAACACAGGGAGAAATGACTTTCTGCTTTCACATAGTGCTATGTGAACTTTAATGTTCACCTGAACAGGCACTCAGGACTTTGATTTAATGACTCACCAGTAGAACAACATCTCCAGCAATGCAGCACACCCCCAGCACTGTATTAGATAGTGCATAAACAATCCCTATAGGCTGAAGTTCCACACATAGCAGTTTTGGGTGAATAAATTTGAGTTTTACTGACTGTCCAATAATGAATCATTCAAGTGCAAATTAAAAGCAACAATCTATTTGAATGAAAGTCTGCTTCTCATTCACTTTGCACAGTCAATGTTTTAGAGATGAGTTTTATCACCTCCCTATGAATCCACACAGCTACTAAAACAAACATATCAATCTGTCAGAATATCACAGTAGTGTCTGTGCACTGCCGCTGTTCATTGACTGCGAAAAGCATTTTCCGAACAATAAACGTCAATGACACCAGCGGAATTAAAGGCCCAGATCTTTTGATGTAATCTTAGAGATTAGAATTGAAATTAATTCACCAAAATTCATGTCTGCTTTAGTCAAGAGATTTAAATTTTCTTACTGAGATCAACTCGTGAAAGTATGCATTCTTTGCATTTTGTACGATTTTGATTATGATTTGGGACAAGTTTTCCAGTCTTATCGCTAATCCATGGATGTTGTGGACCTGGGAACTTGTTGGGGGCCCAGCTATATGTCTTGGGCACTCTTTGCTGCACTTTACGTTTCACATTTAACTGATAGCACATTTTATTTATTTTATTTCTCTCTCTGTTTGATTTTGCTTGTGTGCAGGGAGTGAGCAAGTGCAGAATTTGGCAGTATATATTTGCTGCCTCCTCATGGGAAGTGCCAAGCCTCCAATGCTAAGATTGAGATCTTACCTGCTGACCAACCAGAGGCAATCTAGTGTTGAAATTAAAGTGATTTATTTAATACCGAACGAGACCAAATGTTCTCATTATGCCCATTGAACACTGTGAACAAGGAAGTCCAGTCTTCAATAAGTCATTTTTTTTATTGTTGCTCAGCTCTAAAGTACTTTAAAATGTTTTAAATTCTTGCAATATTTGAAGTGTTTCAAATTCGAATCAATGTGCTGACAGGTGAGGTGGTCCTGGCTGCAGAAGTGCAGTGTATACACAGTTACTGTGTATACAATCTGATAAAGTCTAACTTACATGATTACACAGATTGTACATCATTTTTTCATGCTATTGAGAACAGGAGTGTGGGTTGAAGGTATTGAATTTGCTGAGGTCTGGTTTTACAGTTGCTGGGCCTCCAGTACCTCACAAGTGATCAATCTTAACCTATCAGCCCAGGGCAGTGAATGTTAGGAAATTATTTCACTACCGATGACAGAACAGCTGAACCCAATCTTGTCCCCACCTAATGTCCACACATAGATGCTTTAATAATAATAATCCTTGCATTTGATATAGCGCCTTATCACTTGTTCCAAGACGTTGCAAAGCGCTTCACAGAATATACTGTAAAGTGAATTGACTGTATATCTTGTGGGTGAAACACGGAAGCCAATTGCACACAGCAGTGTCCCACAAAGAATTGTGGATTGAGTGACCAAATTATTATTTTTTAAAATTTATTTTTGTTTTGAAGGATTTCCGCCAGAATACGTAAACTCACTGCTTGTCGGCCTCTCCAACTGCTCCCTTCATTGACTGCAGATCATCCAGAACTCTGCAGTCTATGTCCTCTACCACACCAGGTTCTGCGACTCTATCACCCCCATCCTCACCCGACTCCAATGGCTCCCCATCCCCCAGTCCCCCATACAGTTCACGATCCTGATCCTCACATTCAAAGCCTTTTAATGGCCTTGCTTCCCCCACCTCTGCTACCTCCTAACCCCCTACCAACCTGCCCGATACCTCCACTCAGAGGACTCCAGCCTACTTTGTGTCCCTCACCTCGCCCGCTCCACCATTGACGGGCTGGCCTTCAGCCACTCTGCCTCCACCCTCTGGAACTCCATCCCGCACTCCCTCCACCTCTCCCCATCCCTTGACTCCTTCAAGACCCTCCTCTTCGACCGTGCCTTCGGTCTCCCTCCTTCGCCCTTGCCCTTCACCCTCCCCAATCCGGACCCCCAGCTAATGTCTGAAATCCAGCTCCTTGGGACGTCCTTCTGATGTGAAAGTCACTATAATTTTAATTGTAATTTTGGTGGTGTTGTTGCTATTGTGTTCTCCCTGTTTGGGAATCGAACCCAGGTGCTCTCGCTTGTGAGTGCTCTATCCACTAAACTACAGGACTCCTTGATGATTGCTATTTATTTGGCCTCCATCCAGGGTTGTAATTTCTGCTGAGTGGTAGTGTTTACCTAAGCTGGTTTGAGTGTTCCAAGTTAATTGGAGCAAGGAACCTTGTTTGTAAGGCTAAAATTTCTTCGAAATTCTCCCCCTTGAAATAGTTGGTTTTGCCCCTTCTGGGACTCGTTCCAACCTTACAACTGGGACAATTTGTTTAAATAATTCTGCACAGTCTACTGCTTACTATTCAACTGATGTCCCTTCTATCCTTGACTGTTACAATTCAGGTGTCAATGTATCAACGGTGCAACTGTCAGGAAATGCAAATACAAATGAGTCATATTGAAAGTCAGTCATTTCCTTGGTCTGTCGTATAATTTATGTACTTACTCAGACCTATTATATTTGTAGCAAATGTTACATGAATATAGAATGATGTGAATAAATGAATTGCAATTATGTGTAGGAGGTAAAATTGTCTGAAGTGTCATCAATGGTTTGGCTTTACATCTACTTGAAGATTAGTAATTAGTTTCATCATCCTCTACAGTAATAGACTAGCAATTTCAGACCAAGACGTTGGGTCTGTTCCACAGACCGGAGAGTGGTGTTTGAGTGATGGGTGTGGTGAAATCTGAGAGTAAAATGAGCAGTGCAGGTGCTAAGAAATACCATATGAGAAACCAGGAACTTACAGAAAACCTTTTCTTTCACACAGAAAGCGTTTGGTGCAGTTGCCAGAGTTAGTTGATGTTGATGAGCAAACATGAAGTGGTGAGAGACCTATCCACTCTACTCTGCGGGGCCGTGGTGGGGATAGCAGCAACTCCACAGCATTCATATGTACCTTCTCATGGTCCATTTTGAAGCAACAGGTTAGTAGGCAAGTGAATGATGTGTAATGCAGAGAATAAATAGTCAGTCTCAAGTTATATGAGACTTTATTGAATGCTGTTTTATTTATCATAATAAAAGTGAATATTACATAGTTCTGACATCAGGTTGAGGTATTGCTTTCAGGAAGAGTGGGGAAGCAGAGAAAAAACTGGAAAGACATAGAATAACAGATTGCTAGTCAGCAATGGATAGGTCAGCCAGTGATAGACAGGAGGGAGCAAGAGTAATACATGTAGAGATTATCACAAGGACACTGACAGAGGGAGAAACATAAAGACAAGTAAACAGATGGGTACTGAGCCACACTTGTGCAGTACCTGCGATATGGGGAGAGAGACATTCATGCAAGATGTTCATAATGCGACAGTGCAGCTTGTTTGGTTATTGGCTTTGTTTTACCTTTTTTAAAAAAAATTATAAACTTTGCTGAGAAATGGGTTACCTCGGTTTGTAATTTTGTGCAATTGATATTCTCGGGCCATGCTGTAACTCTGAGATTCAAGCTGTCGTCCAAACTGTGCTCTTTTCATTTTGATCTTTCAAAGTGGAGATTTAAATTTCAGATCAGGTTCACATTACTTTGATTTAGTACAGCACTAGGGTACTTTGTGTTGTAAGATAATAAAGTATGTTTTAAACAAGGTGATGATGACACAGTACGCTATTATTTTAACCCACTTCCCAGTGATGGTCACACTGGTGCTTCCAGGAACCAAGGCCACTTCCGAAAAAATTGTTCCAATAGCAACATTTGTCATTCTGGGTGTTTTGAAATTACACATCATACAAATCATGAATTGGAAACTGAGAATGACATTCTGTTACAGGAATTAATTGGGTGCATGAGCTGGTTGCATGGAGTATCGGGTGATAAATTTGACTGGAAGGTCTGTGCAAGCAAAAAATATAATACTTCAGTTGCAGTTTGAATTGAATCACAACTCTTTAGAACAAGCTTCCTTTTCAAATTTTTGAAATTGTGCGTTTTACTTGAAGAAAAATGTGTAGGATCAAGTAGACTATTGGAGTACAAACAGTAGAATGAGCAGTTCAAGGATTAAGGTTAATTTCATTGATTTGTATGAAAGGACTCAAGCCCCATATCAGCCTGATGTACACTCGAGTTGCAACCACATGGATTACAAATATCGCTCTTTATTTAAAATGTCAGCAACATCTGCCAGCATTCACAGGAAGTACGAAACTGTATACTTTACATTTATCGTCAGTAGTTTTACATCAGCCTATCATGATACATAATAATATGTTATTTCAATATTATTACTGTTTCAGACAAATTATGAGATTTTGAACTGAGGAATCATAAATACTGCTCAAAGGGCCCCTTTAATTCAATGTTTCAACATAAGGAATGGAAAGTGGGTCTCTCAGACGTCTTTTCAATGGTCTAACCTATCAACAGCAAACAACAAATTACATTTGTGTAGCGCCTTTCATGTCAGTAGGATGTCCCAAGGCCCTGTTCAGTCTATCCTGATAACAGTGACTTCCCAGCTCTTTTATCATTCTTTTTACATATCCTGTACTCTTTCCATCACTACTATATCCTTTATCACTTTGCCTCCAGGGAACAATTTGCCTGTTACATTCGCTACAAAATGCAGTCACTACAATTTATAGTATATCCTGTTAAGCACTTTGAGATGTCCTCCGGGCATGAAAGCCATAATATCAAATGTAAGGATTACTATTGTTATTAAGTCTGCTCCTTTCACAGATCGCACAAACCCTAGCCTATCATTGACTTCAGTTAACCAATTTCTATGTCCTGAGACCAAATTCAGCAATTATCCTACCTGATCCACAAAAGTCATAGAACAAAAGCATAATCTTCCCTTTAAAGACCCAACTATGAATCCATTCCCACAACTCTAATATTCAAGCCTTACCTCCTACCTTCTACAGATAACTTCTCACCCCCAGCCCAGATTATTTCTTAATACAGCCTGCATCTGCTCCTTGGAATAGGCTAAAGGTGGTCATACAATTTTAGTAAATGGGACCATTTTTAAAAGAAATGATTATTAAAATTCACAGGTTAATTCTTTAAAATGACCTAGTTCTAACTGACAGTAATCCATCTGTGAAACAAAGAACCAAGGCCTGATTTAATCAATTAATATTTTCCTGCAGAACAATATTTAGAAAAAGAAAAATTGAGATGTGCCCAGTTTATGATGAATTGGTCTGGTATTCACACCAACACTTATACACATCATAATACAACATCAGTAATGTATTTGCTTTGAGTGAACAATACAAGTTGACATTTATAAAAAGCACCTTTCACATCAGAAGGATGTCCCAAGACACTGGACTGTCCAGATTTGTCCCCAAGCTAGGCCTGGAGGCCGGAGTGGGGGGACGGAGGGAGGGTGAAGGATGGCTGAAAACACTGTCAAAGAGGAAGGTCTTGAGGCGGATCTTCAAGGAGGCTCTAGGATGGAGTTCCAGAGAGGGAGTAGGTACCCTGGAAGTCTGACCACCGATGGTGGGGCAGGTGCCCACTAAGCAGAGGGAGAAGCCAGGTTTGTAGCGTATGATAGGGTCGCAGAGGTAGGGTGGAGCAAGATCTTGGAGGGATTCAAAAGTTAAAAGTTATAAAACTCTAATTTTGAACTTGATCTGCTGGGGATGGAGAGCCAGAGGAGCTGGTGAGGAAGGGGGTGATTGGCTCGCAGAGCTTAATTCAGGAGAGGACATGGACTGAAGAGTTCTGGATAATTTGCAACTTTTGAAGGGAAGAAAGAGGCAGGTAGTCCAGCGAGCAGACAATTGAGGTAATCTAGCCTGGATGCGTTGAAAGCATGGATTAGGGTCTCGGCAGCCCAAGAGGAGAGGTAGTGGCAGAGGCAGGTAATGTTATTGGGTAAGGTGAGATGATTAGAGCATAAATGTGAAGTTTGAAGGAATGAAAACAGAAGTCGCTGGGAACACTCAGCAGGTCAGACAGCATTTATGAAGAGAGGAAAGTGAGTTAACGTTTCAAGTCGATGACCTTTTGTCGGTTCTGATTTTTGAGCATATGACGTAACATCTGCACATATATGCTGCCTTTTAAGATAATTTTTTTAATAGAATTACTTTGCAGACCCTGTTCCTTATCTCTTAAAGAACACTGCAAATAGCTCCCAATATAAATATTTAACATTGCAGCTGTAAAGTATAAAGTGCTCATAAGAGAAATAATATTGAAATGTCTTATTCCTGATATAAAATGTTTAGTTAACCATTGCAAATGTAGTTTTGAGTATCACCATGTGCGGGACACAGTATGTTACACAGATGGTTCCATTTTGCTACTTAAGAAATATTATCAACTGTTTAGCCATGGAAAAGAATGTTTTATTTTTCTTTACCTCTTTCCAGATACATTCTGTGGGTAGCCTTGTGGATGGCCCCCAAGCAGACCAGATGGAACAGGATAGAGCCAGTCATGCTGAGGACAAGAGACTGAGTCCCGTGTTATCAATCCATTATCATCCACAGGAACATCATACTGAATGCTTGTCAATTAAAATTGAAAATGGAGAAAAAGTTCACCAGCTGCCAGCAGTAGTGCAACAACAGGTCAATGGTGATTTTAAACGGGGCACTGTCAAAAGCAATTATGTGGACAGCCATGCACAGGGCAATGAGGAAAAGTTTCATAACCCTGAAGCTAAGCAAGAGAAGACAGAATTTCCCAAATGCCTGCAGAATGGAGCTATCAAACATGTTCTCAGTGAATCATCTTCCTGTGGCCTTCAGCAACCCAAGAAAATCAAGTTGGATGAAGAATCAAATGGACAAGACCCTGATTTAGAAGAAGACCAGCTATGGGACTTTGAAGGAGAGAAATGGTCAGGTGCTGTAAAGGCTCCAGGTTATGACTGTGAAGATCCTGGATATCCTGATCTACAGCAACAGAATGAACACAGCAAAGTGGAAACAAAAAATGCCAGTTATAAGAATGGAGATATTTTCTCCCTACTCAGAAGCAAACAATTGTCAGTTTCAAATGGTGCTACAGGCTCTTCGCCTTTTATAGAAATCCAGCAAGATGGTTTCCGAGACAAAACACTGCCCCTGTCTTACCCAGAGCAAGTGTTGATTGAACAGCAAAACATTGCATCTCATGAATACACCAGAAGAAATCAGGCCATTGCTGAGTTGTCTCACAGGATGACTCAGCCACCCCATACCTCAGGGCTGACTGTATCTACATGGACCTCCACTTCTGCACAGCCTCAAGTGCCAACTGAAATGACCGTAGAGAGACTGGTCACTCAAAACTACAGTGTATCACCTGCATTCAAAACAATACATACATTCAAAACAGAAGGGCAGCTCCAGCAACCTCAACACAATTTACACAGTGCTCCAGTGAATAAAAAACAAGAGCCACAGAGCTATGCAGGGCAGGTACCCAGTCAACGTTATTCTGCAGTATCTATGAATTGTTTACAGATACCTAACAGCATCCCAACCACAATGTGTTCCACACAGATGCCAGAAACAACTGACCTATTTTATAGCAGGAATAAAACTAACTACATTAACGACCTTGGTGCTATATCCAGATCAGAAAGTCCAGCACAAAGTGCAGCGACAGTGACCTTAAACTCCAACCAAACCAACGCCAGTACCACAGAGCACTGCAAGAGAATCAATAATATTACACGGGAGCCAGACTTGTCTGATGTCAGACGGTCATCAGACCAAACAAATCATACTGAGTCTGTAAAGCCGGAAAATACTCAAGTGGAAATCCCGTGCAAACAAGAACCTGAACAACCTGATATGACAAGAAATTGTATGATAGCTTCCTCTCCGAATATAACACAACAGCACTGTGCTGAGGCGGCAGTAAGACATCCAATTCAGCAATCAATTGAACCACCAGCACATAACCAGACACTTATACATGAGGCATGGCTACAACTCCACCGGCAAAGACAGATTCAGCAACTGAGACAGTATAAGCAAGTGCAAGATGCTCAGGATAAATGTTCCTCATGGGGTGAATCACAGCCCCAAGAAATTGCATCTCTGTCGGAAACCACAGAGGTTTTTTCCCACGAGTGGAGAGGCTCACTGCCTTTGAATTTACAGCATCAGCTTCAATGGCCAATGCAGATTTCACCAAAACAGGACTCACCTGCTCAGCTGCAATACTTAACCAAACACGAAGAAATATCAAAACTGTGCAGCAATAGTCAAACAACTGATGCTGAGCCAAGAGGAGTTCAACTACAGCAACTTCAAAAACAATCATCACAAACTCAGCAGGAGGAAGCACAGTCCTTGACACAACCAAAATCACAGATGCAAATGGTCCATCAATATCGTCCACAGTCTGCGCCGCAGCAGTTGCTGCAGCTAAACCAGGATAAAACTGACAATATGATAGAAAACAAATTAGTTCTGCAAAAAATGGTTCAATGCCGCCCACATTCAGTTCCTCAGCAGCAAGATCAACACAATCTGGTTATCCTTAAACCCCAAACAAAACAGTGGCACTTACAGCAAAATGCACTAACACAGGAACAAATGGCACAGATACAAGCAGGGCAGAATGTACGGTATCAGTACGGCCCAAACCAACATGAGAAACTGCCAACCATTCACCAACAGCAAGTTCAAGATCCCAATCCAAATGCTGCACAAACTTGTGAATATCGTGAACCTCAGTATCAATGTGGCACAGAGCAGCAATATAGTCAGATTATAAAACCAGTGAAGTTTATCAAAACAGAAAAACAAGGGGAAATATCGAATTACTGCCACCAATCTCACATCTTGCAGCAACAACAGGACCAGCCTTATGGTATATTCGCTAACAGTTCCATTCACAGAAAACGTATTGAGACTCAGTTCAGTAAACTAGTTCCTGCATATTGTCACAATATAGAGACTATACCAGAGAAAGCAGACACATTTTACAGGTCAGAGAACACCATTACACAAGATCTCCACAAACCTAATAACGATTTGCATCAAGTTCCAAACGATCAACAGGATTCAGTACAAAGCCAATCCCAAGAACAGGTTCAACAGTTACAGCAGCAAGCGCACCATATGTCTGTTATTCAACAGACACAGCAGCGGCTGATGCATCAGCAACATTCACAAATACAACATGGTTTGAGCCAACAAGATACTTCCCACAAGATGGAACAGAGAAATGCAGCCCCACATAACCGGCACGCAGTGCCAATGAAAGGCACATTTCTCAATCCACGATACCGTCAGTACCCACCCAGCATCCAGAATGAAGAGGAATTTAAAAAACATGCAGCACTTAATTCTCACTTATTACAACAGCAAGAAAGGAAAATGTACCAACAAAGAATGCAGGCTTTCAAAGACCTGCAAAAACCCATCAAGGTAGAGGAAGGATTACCAATACCATCCTCCATGCTCCATCTGCAAAGTGAGCTGGAGGTGAACCCTATCGAACATCAGAGCCAACATTTTAATTTCGAGCATCAGCAACAAGAAAGGAGCATCATCGAAGCACTAGAGCAGCGTTTCAAACAGTATCAGCTTTCATCACCGTTTGAACGGCAAACATGCGTTATAAAGTCACCTAAGCAGGTGAAAGTTGAAACTTCAGGTCCTGTGACTGTTTTGTCTACCACTGCACACTTTGAATCAGATATGGGTGGTGACTGCACCTCAGCACAACAGACCAGCTCTTCCACTGAAGCCACACCAACAAAGAAGCGACCAGAATCCACTTTAAGTAACTTTCTTGAGTCACCCTTGAAATTTTTAGACACTCCTATAAAAAGTTTACTGGATACTCCTAAAAAGATCCAATATGATGTCCCAGCGTGCAGCTGTTTTGGTAAGTACTATTAATCTTGTTTCTGCTAACAGTTGCAAATACTATGACATTCATACTATGAAACCAGCCCTTTAATTGGCTGAACCTGCAGTTTTTGAAATAAAGCAAGTCTGGAAACACTTTATATCTCATACCGAAAAATCTTGCTACAATGTATTTAAATGGCCTGATGGACTATCAACATCACTTTCACCATGTAAAACAGGATAATTGAATACAAACATAGAAAACTCTTGGCACTTGACTACTATAACCCACTTTAAATTCTAATGCTTCTCTGAACACTCACTGGCTTTCGCAGCTTTTAATATCATACATCTTCATGTAAATGTTCCTTTGCACATCATGTAAGTGATTTGGTGATCAGTCATATTCTGGATGCGGTATGTTTAAGAGCATATTAACATGTTCTTTACTTCGGCTGAGAATATATGTGTGTTAGCCTGACTCAGCTGGTGGCACTCTCGCTTCCCAGTTTCAGAAAATTGTGGCTTCACCTCCTGTATCAGGATTTTTTGAGCTCATAGAACCAGAAATAGCATTCTAGAGGTGATGTCCTTTAGGTGAGAAATAAGATGAGGTCTTGGGTGTCTGTTCAGATTCATGTTAATTTGCTTCAGGAATTTCTCTTCAGTATCCTGGACAGTTAAATTGATCGTTCACCTCCTGACTGTTTGTGGGCATTATACTGCACAAATTGGCTGCTGTTCACCTACAAATACGCAACATTTAACAGTAATTGCTGTGAAACACTTAGAGAATCTTAATAAAATAGACTATATCAAATGCAAGGATTTTTATTAACAACAATAATACTTGCATTTATTATAGCGCCTTATCATGTCTTCAAGACATCTTAAAGCGCTTCACAGAATATACTGTAAAGTGTATTGGCTAATTCATAAATAATTCACTAATAAGTATATTCTTTGACTTGAAGATACAAGTTAAATTCTCCTGTTGTCAAGTTTATTTACGTTGGTGCCAATGTCACACCTAATGTATTGGCACTCGCTGTGATAATTAGTATTTCACCTCACATCAGAAGGAAAAGAAATATAGGGGTTAAATTTGTACCATTTCATTAGATTGAATTGATTATCACATCACACCTTCTATTTTATTAAATCTGGGTGTGAAATGTGATAAATTTCATCTAGTATCTTGGAACTACAGAACATCTATTATTATTATCTAATATTGTTTTTAATAATAATATTATTATCATTAGCAATAAATAGCAACCCGGTTGTTAGTCGATTGTCAGATTGCATTCTGGGGGTAATAATCCCTTCCAAAAAATATTTGTTTCTAAAAATAACAATGTCGTCACTCAATCCACAACTGTTTGTGGGACAATGCTGTGTGCAATTGACTGCCGCGTTTCATCTGCAAAATATACAATCAATTCACTTTACAGTATATTCTGTGAAGGACTTTAATGTCTCAAAGACATGATAAGATGGTATATCAAAAGCAAGGATTATTATTATTTAATTATTTACATTATAATGTGCCTTTCTATAAAGTGGATTTAGATAATAATGCAATTAGGTTGTGGACCCTGACATGACCCTGACCTAAAAATTAAAATCGCACTGTCCAGATCCAGCATGGTGGAAAAAATGTCCGGCTTCTGGGTTATCAGGTTACTGCTAAAATCATGTCTTGCATACTGCATAAGATAAATAAGTTAATTTGCAGAAAACCACTGATGCCTTTTCAAGGAAGTTGCAATGTCAGAGCTGCTTTTAGCACGTCAAACAACAAACAAACAACAATAAAATTATATTTGTATAGCACCTTTCACGTCGGGAGGACGTCCCAAGGCACTGGAAAGCATGCAGGAAGTGATGTTGGCAGTGCTAAAATGATTCAACTTACAGGAAGTGCACACGATCAAGCTTATAGGAAGTCATGTCAGTGGCGACCTAATCACATGGAGGTTGCCGAGGTTATGGATAGCTTTAACCAGTCTCCTTGATGGCACTGTATGATGGCATGGCAGATGTACACAGTACGTTCCTGATTCAATATCTGAATTTGTTTTGGGTCATCCGGGTGTCTGACACATGCTGAAACCCATCACCATGCTTAAGAGTATCCAAACCAAACTGAGATTTCCATGCATCCCACCTACATGTGGAGATTCCAGAGATAGATCGTTGGAATGGAATGCACACTCTCCCCCTGGAGGGACGCATCCTGCTCAACTAATTCTGGGAAGTATTAGGCACAGGGTAGCAAGAGCCAAAACTTGAGGACCCCAAAATGTGCAATGGGGGTACTGCTGGAGTCTAACCAACTAAAACTGTGTAGCTTTCTATTGAAACAAAAACTGTGATCGCTGGGAACACTCAGCAGGTCAGGCAGCATCTATGGAAAAAGGAATGTGGGTCCATGACCCTTTGTCAGACGCTGGTTTGATTCTCTTGGAGGGTCATGGACCCGAAAGGTTGACTAACTTTCCTTTCCCTATAGATGCTGTCTGACCTGCTGAGTGTTCCCAGCGATCTCTGTTCTTGTTTCAGATTTCCAGCAGCTGCAGTAGTTTGCGTTTTAACTTGCCATTAATATCGCTGTCCAGCAAGCTTTCCCACTGCTTGTCCAGCTAGGACCACCCAATCTGTTAGGGCTTTGGCTTGCAGGGTTAACAGGAGCTGAGTGGGATGATTCCCTGCCCCCAGTCACTGATCTGCCCTTCCAGGTTGTGCTGATGAGCCAGGCTGGCTGTGCTGTCATCAGCAGTGCCCTGGAATACTGCAGACCAGCATGGCTCAGGAACCGGACTAGAGACTGCCGCAAAGGGCTGGCTTGATTCCGATATTCCATTGCCAACATGTCATCTTAGAGCCAGGTCAGCCTCCCCACAGCACCCCCCCCCCCAGAGAAATAGTCACTAGTTGGTTGTTTGACATCCGACAAGCGCGGTTTGAGCCCTCCCTAGGTGGATGATAGGTACCAGCAACTCCCTGCAAGCTTCCTGGTGGGCAACACCACAATGTGTGAGATCATTGCCACTATCTTCCTGTCCGCAGCTCAGGCACACTTCCCTTCCCTTTGAGCAACGGTTCCACCAATTGGAGGTGCAAAGTTTAAGCAGCAGCTACTTGCCTCTCTGCAGGCCAATCAAGGTGGATTCCAGGCGCTGGATGTACAAATGTGTGTTCACGAACTCGGACTCCATATAACACCTTAAGAAGCTGTCATCCCAAGCCTCAAAGTTTACTCATCAGCTATCTGGTGGACATCTGTCTTCAGGGTGGTGGGAGGACCTTTACAGGACAATTGGGATGTGTCAGCCACCTTGATCTCGAGGTCCAAATATCTGAAAAACAAGGAGGAAAGCCAGGGCATTAAGTTTATTTTTGTCCTTGATTTTCATGAGGCGGGAACATAACCTGTCCACCTAATGTATTGTGGAAGGCAACCCTGTAAGTTTTTAAAAGAAGGTACGTTCTTAAAAAGTATTACAGAAAAATGAAATAAATTAAAGTTGTATATAAGAATTCGATAAATTGATGTTCTGAAATGCTGCAAAAATTGAACAAATCTGGGCTCAGGTGGAATTTCCCCCTATCTTCTCCAACCTCTCTCTCAAACTCACCAAACCAGTTCATTCTCCTTTGTCTTTAATATCTGGTCCCTGACCAACAGACTTTGGAACGAGATTTACTAAATGGCACCTAAACCCTAATTCAGGCCTTTGGTACCTCCTACCTAGAATTTCAAATGCAATTCTCACTGGTGTCTTCAATTCCACCACCCATAAAACTCCAGCTAATCCAAAACTCAGCAATGTCAATCACCCCAGTCCTCGCCAGGCTCCACTGAACTTCACTCAATGGATCGATTTCAAGATCTTCATCTTTACTTGTAAATCCCTTCACGTCCTGGTCTCTCTGAGCCCTCTGATCTTTTACTAGCCCACTGCTCTGCTCGCCCACTCCATTCGGCCAACTCAGGCTCGCTGTGTGCCCCTACCCCTCTGCACAACTATTGGTGGCTAAGCTGTTAGTTGTTATACCCCTAAATACAGGAACTCGCTCCCACTATCTTGCCCCGTCTTTTAGTCCTACCTCAAAATCTACCTCTTCCACTGTGTCTCCAGTCATCTCCTCCCCTCTTAGTCTTCTCTTGCATTGCGTCCAACCCCGTCTTTGTGAAGTGCTTCAAGACAGCTAGATGCAAATTGCTGTTGCTGATATTGCAATAAGCATTTCTGTGTGTTTGAGTCACCAAATGCTGCCGCGTTTTGCCCACAAATATGCAGTCAATTCACTTTACAGTGTGTTCTGTGAAGCGCTTTGGGACGACCTCCCGACGTGAAAAGCACTATATCAAATGCAAGGATTATTATTATTATTATTCTGTGAAGCGCTTGAGATGTCGAGAAGACGTGAAAAGTGCTATATCAAATGCAAGGATTATATTATTATTACCATTTACCTTAAGTCAAACTGTACATGTAATGGAATCTATTTTTCTTTACTGGCACTGAAGTCTTTGATTGATTTCTGTTCATGCTTTATGCAGGCCATTAAGCCAGAGACTGAATGTGTTGTAACTTTAATGGCAGTAGCTTTTCTAATGGCCGTGTCCAGAATTATTCAAAATATAAACAGCAAAACACAACAGTTCATAAAAGCTGCTTCAAGTCTCATTACTCGCTCCAGCGCCCTTACGTTCCTGAAGAAGGTAAATTGTCAATTTTTCATCAAGAGGAACCTTGCATCTGTTCCAAATTTCCAACAACACCAACAACTTGTATTTATATCGCATCTTTTATGTGGGGTAGCGTGTCAGAGCCCAGAGATGATTCAGTCAGTTGGAACCATCTATCTGGTCTTTGCTCATTTCATTTCCTAATGTTTGCAAATTCAGGCTTTTCAGGAGAGGGGGGGAGGGGGAGGGGAGAGAGGAGGGGAGGGGAGGGGAGAGGAGAGAGAGGAGAGAGGGGAGGGGAGAGGGAGGGGAGAGAGAGGAGAGAGGGGAGGGGA